AAAATAAATAAATAATATAAATATAAATAAATATAAATATAAATATACATATACCAATATAAATAAATAAGTGTAAATAAACAAATACAAATAAATACTATTTTGCATTTAATATTTGTTGGCTAGAGCTTTTTAAATCAGTCCCTGTTTGTTCTTCAGGTGTACGTACACCCCAATTTTTTCATTCTTTTAGTTCACATCTTCTTTTTGTTTATTAATTAATCAATTCTATTTATCTTGATTCTATTTAGCCTTTTTATTTCCTCAATTATTTCATTTAATTTCATTTTCTTTCTCTTTATTTTTTCGTTTTTGTTTTTTCTTTTATTTTTTATTGAAATCTTTTCTCGCCGTTTATTCCTGAAGTCCTTCATTTATTATTTCTTTTATTTATTCGTTTATTTGTCTTTTATTTACTTACGGTTTATTTATTTATTTATGTATTCATTTATTTATTTATTTGTTCATTTGTTTATTTATTTAAGTCATTTCTCTATTATTTGTTTTCAGTTATTCACTACTCCTATTTACTTATTATTATTTTTTATTTCAATTTTTTAATTTCTTTTTACTATTTGTTCCTGCTCATACTACTATTTTTCCATTTAGTATTCCTTTTTAATTTTGTATTCTTTCATTTATCTATTTCATTATTTTAATTTTGTTTATTTATTTTATTTATTTTATTTATTTTATTTTTATTTACTTTTTTCTTTTTAGGAGATCCCGAAGACTCCTCGGAGTTGGAAAGAAAAGAAAAAAGAAAAACAAATTTGAGAAGGGGAAATCCCTCAAGAGTCACTTTCAACGAATACTGCCCCGGAGACGCTAAACCCTAAACCCTAGGCCCTAAACCCTAAACCCTAGGCCCTAAACCCTAGGGAGGGATGTGTGCGAACGAGGATTTTATTTGGTGCGCCGCGGCGGCACAAAAACTGCGAAGTAGCTAAACCCTAAACCCTAGCTCCTAAACCCTAAACCCTAAACCCTAGAGAGGGCGAAGGTGGGGTTGTTTAAAATTTTTAGTGTTGCAGCTGAGAAAGGGTGTGGCAGGAACTCAGCCCTAATCCTTAAACCCTGAATTGGGGTTTAGAGTCGCCGCTTCGTTTTCTCTCGTTTGCAAATTAATTTCTTTTCTTTTTTTGAATTTATTTTCTAGTCAAATGCATTTTGCTGCAGCGTTTAATTAATCATTTCTTCAAAAACATTTCTAAAAATGTTTCCAGCGGACCCGCCCTCAGAAACCCTAAACCCTAAACCCTAGAAGGAGTTCTGCACGCGTAGAGCCTCCGACCTAGACCGTAAACCCTAACAGAAAAAGCTTCTAGGGTTTTACTTCTCCGATAAATCGCTGAGGCGAGAATAAGGCTCAGGATTTAGAAATTAGGGTCTAGGGTTTAGGGTTTAGGGTTTGGCTACTGCGTTCCCAGAGGGAAGCTGCAGGGGGCGGAGGCAGAACGAAAACGACATAGTGGCGCGTAAAATCCGTGTAGAATAGAAAATAGATTTTAATTTATTTTTAAAACATTAAAAGAAAGTAAAAAGGCGAAATGAAATGCGAAATAACGAGAAAATATTCCAGAACTAGATAGCGAGGCGTGTAGACCTGGTTTTGCGAAAGCAGGCTATATTCTTCTGCATTTTTGGCAAACAATTCTAATATATCATCAATAAATGTTTTTAGGGTTTTATTTTGCGTTTTTGAAGTGGATTTAGGCTGAAAAGAGGGCCGGATTCTAGAAATTCAACTGTTCACAAGCTGCAAAGGTTCGATTTCAATGTAGCCGCCACTGAGCAGCCGCTGGGGCGTGCAGCCAGTCATCTAAGGCTTTCTACTCTTCATCTTCTTTGAACAAAATTCAAATAATTGCAGCAAAGAAGAAAGCGATCAAAAAAGGAAAAGAAAACGGGGGAAAGTGGCAAAATATTCAAGAGGAAGCTGCTGCCCGGGAGCGTGCCTGGCCGCCCTGTCTGGGGAGCTCCGCGGCGCATTTCGAAATGAATTTCGCCCAAAAGACTCAAACTGAGATCTAAAGTGAAATCTACATTGATTTTTAATTCAAAACAGGTTTTAATTTCCCAGTTTTACCTCCAGTGTTTGGGAACGAGGCCTGAACCGCTCTGGCTGCGGGCAGCGCCGGGCGGGCGCGGGACTGCTGCGCCGAGTCGGCAGCCGCGGGAAAGCTGCGCGATGCGGGCGTTTGCGCGTAAATTTCGCGTTTAAAATTTGAAATTATATTTTTAAAACGAAGAGGAAATAAATTTAAAGGCTTTATAAGGCGAAAGAGGGGTTTGGAGCGGCGGGCGGCGGCCCCCCGCACAGCACCTGCGCAGCGGGACTGCTGCCCACTCCCCTGTCTGCTGCTCAGGTGCGCGGCCTTGGGTGCAGTTTATTCGCAGAAACGCGAATTAAATTTAACACTTTGATAAATTTAATGCATTTTAATTTTTAGAGTTTGATTTTTGCTATTTGGCTGAGCATTTGAAGCCGCTTTCCACAATGCGTTCTCTCCTTAAGGTCCTCGCTGCCTCCGCGCTACTCGGCGCCGCAGCTCAAGGTAAATCCTTCTTCACTCTGCAACTCCTTCATCCTCTGTAGAAAGTTCTTCAAATTGTTTTCTAAATTAATACTTTTTCATTTTCCTTTTTCTGGTTTTTGTTTGGAGCAAAAAGCGCTTCTCTTCAGCGCGGTCTCGGGCAGCAGCCAAGTTCAAGTTCATGCAGAAACCTCTGAATTTCTTTCCTTTCAAGCCTCACTTTACAGTTTATTTGCAGCTTTTTTTTCTTCTCTTTCATTATTTATTTTCATTTTTTGGATAATTTTGCTGAAATTTCTCTTTTGCAAGTAATTTCTTCTGCTGTTCTGCGCAGGCGCGTTTGCATCTCAAGGCGCCTCCCAGGTTTCCGAAATCCGTGAGTTGAACACTGATTGGAGAGCATTTTTTTGTTTAATTTATTTATTTTAACATTTAATATATTTTTCTGCTTCATTTTTTTGCAACAATTCGCTTTTTCCTTCCGCTTTCTGTTGTTGCAGCTGCCGACAGAACTAAAGTTGCCGCAGTCCTGCAGCACCCCGTGCAGCAGCCAGCTGCTGTGGAGGAAATCATAGAGCAGCGGCCTGTGGAAACTGCAACACCAGAGGAAATAGCAGCAGCAATTGCAGCAGCAGCAGCAGCAGCAGCAGAGGAAGAAGAGGCTGCAGTTCCAGCACCGGCCGAGGAGGAAGAAGCAGCAGCTCCAGCACCATGCGGGCAGCAGGATGCAGCAGCAGCAGCAGCTCCAGCTGAGGAGGAAGAGGCTGCAGCAGCAGCTCCAGCTGAGCAGGAAGAGGCTGCAGCAGCAGCTCCAGCTGAGCAGGAAGCAGCAGCAGCAGCACCAGCTGAGGAGGAAGCAGCAGCAGCACCGTGTGCAGGAGAAGCAGCTGCAGCAGTAGAAGCACCAGCCGAGGAGGAAGCAGCAGCAGCACCGTCTGAGGAAGAGGCAGCAGCAGCAGCACCTTCCGAGGAAGAGGCAGCAGCAGCAGCACCTTCCGAGGAAGAGGCAGCAGCAGCAGCACCTTCCGAGGAAGAGGCAGCAGCAGCAGCACCGTGTGAGCAGCAGGAAGCGGCTGCAGCGGAGGCGCCGGCAGAGGAGGAGGCAGCAGCAGCAGCCGAAGAAGAGGCAGCAGCTCCAGAGCAGCAGCAGCAGCCGCAGCAGCCACAGGTTTCAATTTCTGTTGAAGAAGTCGATCCCGAATCCGCAGAAGAGGAAGACGCTTCTGCTGCTGATGTGGCAGCGCCCGTGGCCGACGCTGCAGCAGCAGAAGCAGCAGCAGCAGAGCAGGAGGCCGCTGCAGCAGCAGCAGCAGCAGAGCAGGAGGCCGCTGCAGCAGCAGCAGCAGCAGAGCAGGACGCCGCTGCAGCAGCAGCAGCAGCAGAGCAGGACGCCGCTGCAGCAGCAGCAGCAGCAGAGCAGGAGGCCGCTGCAGCAGCAGCAGCAGCAGCAGCAGCAGCGCAGGAAGCAGCCTGAATGCATTACTGAGTCTTTATTAATTCCTTAATTTTCTGTCTTCTTTGAAGAGGGTTTCACAGTTTGCTGAACCTTCTGGGAAATCTCTTGCACTCTGTTTTCGTGTTTGCTGAGCGCGAAACTCCATTTCTTTTCCCCGAATTTGCCCTTTAGTTTTCTCCTGACTTTCTTTTCCTCTAGCTTTGCTTCGTTTGCTGCTAAACAGCAGCAGCAGCAAATGCAGCGGCAGCAAATGCAGCAACAGCAGCAGGTGCAGCCGCAGCCGCAGGTGCTAGGAGGTTGCAGTTTTCTGGGGTTTAGGGTTTAGGTTGGCTGTAAGAGAGCGAGCTGGGGTTAATTGGGTTTGTTTTTTATTTTGATTTTAGTTCATTTTCTTTTTTTGTTTCTAAAGTTGAAGGGATCACAAAGGGAATTCGTTCAATACAGATCCACGAAGTTCCATGCTGCTAGAGAGCGCTGGAGTTCAGAAAGCAACTTACGGATTGCATTTCTTTCCAGCATCTGAATTTAAAATACTTGAATTTTAATTTTAATTTCAAAAAGGAATAAAATTAGTTCTTATTTGCTTCAATAGCTGGTTAATTTGCTGGACAATCTTCTCATCGGTTCGCCACCCGTCGGAACAATGCATGCGTCTGATGCCGCAAGAAACCCTCACATATTTCTTTTTTAATTTCACATTTACAAAATTTTGAATATGTTTCTTATTTTTATTTTTAATAACGGCTTTAATTGCAGCGTTTCGCGAAAGATGAACTCCAGCATCACGGCCGAGCTAGTCTTCATGGAGCCGCTACAGCCCTGTGGCCGGACACAGAACAACTCCGCAGAAATTCCAATTATTTGAATTTCTTATTGTTCCATTTTAAGTCAACAAAAGAATTAAATATATTCAAGACTCACTTACGATGAATAATTCGTCTCGCGAAAGACGCCGCTGTAGATCTCGTAGAACTACTTAGGGCCTTGGGTTTGGGGTTTAGGGTTTAGGGTTTAATGTTTGAAGTCTACGGTTTATAAAGAGTACAAGTAAGGTATTAAAGGCGGACTGAAGGTTTTATTATTCCTTCAGTGAGTGATCTACTGCCTGCCCACCAGCAGCCGAGGCATTTTCACTTCACTTCTTTTGGCTGTCAACAGAAACTTCATTTTCTCCAGATCTGCGCGGAGTCGCTTTCCCAGAAAGCACCTGTATGAAAACTGGAATTAGTTAAAAGCTGTTTTTGCCCCAAAGCCTTCATTTGCTGCTGCTGCAAAATGGTGAGGGCGGGAAAGATCGGCAAGGGCTTCACCCCCCGGCCCACGCACGAAGAGCCCAGCGAAAAAGAAACACAAGAGGAAAGCATTCCTCTTGGGCTCCAAAGACTCAAACAGTGGTGGAGTGCTTTTTTGATACAACGCGCTTGGCGCAGAAGCAGACAGAAAGACGCTGACGACGACTGGGGAAGCAGGGGTACACTTCACTCCTGGCATGCATCCAGAAGACACCACTGCATGCATGCATCCATGCATGCATGCATGCATGCAATCCTGTTGTTGCTGAAGCCCAGGGGCTGTCTGCTACAGTTTTCCTGACCTCCCTGCTGCAGCAAACTGGCTCCTTAGTGGTTCTTCAGTTTTCTCAGCAAAGCCATTCTGCGGGGGCCATTTTTGCGCAGAGTTCTCGGGAAGCAAATTAGAGGCGCAGAGCACCGCTGATGAAAGCAGTTTGCTGTCAAAGGCGGAAGCTTTAAACTACGCCAAAAAGAAAGACATTATTCGACTGCTAGAGGTACTTTTGGTCTCCAGAGCCTCAACGGAGTAACAGCGTAGACACAACAAAAAGCGGCTCTATAAAAATCACCCCAAAGAAAAAGCCAAAGCTTTTCTTCCCTTGCTGCAGCAGTGTCTAGAAGCCCCGGTTTAAACCAAAGTGCTCAGCATGGGCTACAACTGCACTGAGGGTTTTGCTGCAGACACTCTATTAAATCGCAGATATTATTTTTTTACTAAAAACATGGCTTTATGGTTTATTTTTTATTTGTCGAGCGTCCCTGCTGAGCCTTGGAGAAGAGCCGCTGCCGCTCCCTTTTGCAGAATCTGGCCATTCGGGTTCTGGAGGCGCGGCCTAAGAATGCGAGAGCTTATATGCTCTTTTTGCTTGAAGCCATGAAAGCCAGCAAGTCCCAAAAAAGCGCTGAAGTGGCTTCCCCTACGGACATTCCTTCTGACTCTGAGGGACCCCTCAATTCCCAGGCAAGCAGCGAGCAGCAGCAAGAGTCAAAAGAAAAAAGCGAAGACATCCTTGACCAACTGAAAAATCCTCTTGGCATTTTTTCCGAGAAAGACCTGCAGGTCTTGTACGAGTACTGTATGAGAACTAAAGGAGCGGCACTGCCTGCGCAAATCGAAAAGCGTCAGTGTTCCTTATTCTTACATGCTTTCTCTTGGCTGTGGAAAACTTTATTAGCATATGGACCTTCTTGCTTGTTGTTGAAGCTCTACGCTACTTTGTTGTTTTATACCTTAAGTCAGGTGGCCTAGCTAGGTGACTCAAGCTTTAAAACAACAAAATATCTTAGAACCTATGAGGCTTCCACTGTTTGATAACTGAGAGGATTGCTGGGTGGGGTTAATGGGTTCGGCTACGCTAGTTGACATAAGCCTTAAAACAATAAAATGGCCCAGAACTTCAACAACAAGTAAGAAAGTCCATATGTGAAATTTTATTTCTGCGCTGTAGTTTCTCCCGAGGATCCCTCTTGCGCTTCATTGGCTTGCTCGGTACGCAGCAGGCGCCTTAGCCTTCTCCACTTCGTAACTTTTCAGTGTTATTGTAACTTTTTTGGCAGCAGGAATATAAACTTTGATATAAATTAAATTACCGTTTACTGTATCTTTCGCAGGTTTTGAAGGTCGCTAGCGACAGCTGCTCTGCTGGAATTCCGTGTCTAAAGGACTTCATGGCTGCCACCTCTACACCAATCGAGGATTGTTTCCGCCTCGCTGCGCTGTGAATGATAGACAAACAAGAGGGCCCTAAAATGCATAAGGGCCCCAGCTCTAGAATTAACGGTCGCCTGCTAACGCTAAGGAAAGCTGCTCAATGAGACTGAACTCTTTTCTTCACTGGAAAACGAACTGCTAGGAAATATAGAACTTGACATTTCCAACGCGTCCAAGAAAGTGCACAGAACGCATTGCTGTCTGTCAAAGCTTGTGGGCTAATTCCTGAGAGAGTCCCACTCAACATCATTTTGTTCGTTGGTTTGAACAAATTTTGCTTGTGGCTTTTCAACGAAGTGGCGTGTTTTTCCTATTGTTCAGTGGTTTCTGCGGACAGTGCTTCCAGTTCACAACCATTTCAATTGAATATATTAGTTCTCATCCAAGAAATCCTACTCCCTGTGAAAACCCTACCGCAGAATGAGTTTGTGAGCGTTCTATAAGCATTAAAATAAACGACCTTTGGCATTTGCGGCCCAGCCGAAGGACTCAGGGTACCCTAGCGGCTGATGTGGGCTACTAAAGGTAACAGCTGAATCCTGAAAGATGAGTTCAGCTCAACACTGTGCAGCGACTCCGTTCGTCTGGAACTTAGAATCGTGTCCAAGTTTGCTTAACATATATGTTCGTCAGTCGAACGCCCTGGTAATATCTGATTGAGGGAAACTGGTGAATGCCATAAGCAGACAGTACAGGCCTGAGTTGTCCGCAGGTGAAGTCTTCAAAGTACAGATTCCCCTGGTGAATACAGCAAAGGTATACACTGTACCTATTCCTGCTTATCTCCAGCCTGAACATGGGTGGTAAGGCGCTTTTGATGCGTCCCACTTCCGTCTGAGTCCAAACAAAATCAGCAAAAAGAACATCCACGAGGCGCTCGCATCCCAGTCCCAGTGTGGCCCCACTATTTTCTAGAGAACTTCAAATTTTCAAACGTTCATGCTATGCATATCTCAGAAGGCCTAACAGACAAAGTAAGCAGTCTTTCGATTCTCCGCCTTTACTCGTCGACTCATTTGGCGGAAATTCCCGATTACACGGTTCAAGGACACTGATAAATCACACGAATGCATCAGGCGCAGCGAGCTAATAAAGCTTTGATGCCACCGACATGAGGTCATCTTTAAACCGTTGACAAGAGGAAACGAAGGACTTTCAGTGGGGAACTCGACTATCTCAGGTCCCACGGGAGACTATACAGGAATCCAGCAGTGAGGTGAAAGCATTAGCGCGTTAACGGCAAACTCAACGTGGTGCCCTTTGAACCGTGGTGAGAAAGAACCAGTACACTCCTTTATAGTCCATGCGCAGAGTTTTGCCTCTGGTTGAAAGCTGCTTGTTCAGTTATCAAAGGCAAGTTAAGACGCTTCTCAGACTAGGGTAGCAAACGCTCGCCACTACAGTTCCATCAGCTATGTAAACAGGCTCTTTGCCCAAGTAGCCACCCCTGTCTGGCGCGCATGAAAACATTCATTATTTCTACGACGGAAATACCATGGAAAGGGACCTGTGTAGTGGGGGAACGAATATTCAATGCTGTTGTATCGGAAGACAAGAAGCACTTCAGTCCTTCGCTTCCATTTTTTCATATGAACGAAACTGTTCCTTCCTGAGATTTGGCAGGTCGCGTGCTGGCTCGCTGGACCTTTCCTTCCTTTTGCAAATTACCTTTATCGTTGTGCACAGTGTATGTTACAGCTCCATGTCTCTTGGGTAGCTCTTCTATAGGATAGATGTTACATAGGACACTTAATACCTGGCATTTTGTTGGGATGGGGATTAACATCCTCTTGCGCACTGGTCCCCCACATCGATGTCGTCCTCATGAGGACACGGCATCCTATGTTTCTGCAATTTATAATGAACGTCATCCTAGCCTGGCTATACTTTGGGGCGCCTCTGAAGGGCCTCAGGGCCTAGTGCTTTTACGCTGATTTACGCTTTGGCACTCAGAGCATGATGAAATTAATAACTACATAAATAGCGGTAATACCCTTCATGTCCGCGAAAATTCA